TGACCGGGCCCCCAAGTTCAGACCGCGTTACGGTATTGTGAGTCATGCTGTGTGTTAGGTTGTTTTTCTTCCTCTTTGTTACGTTGCTATCGTTTCTTGTTCGTTTCTTAAAAGGTGTTTTTGTTGCCTCATTTACTATTGGTTCCACATTGGTCTCACCTCCTGTTGTGGCAAGATTTCTCTTATTTTCATTTCTAGTATATATATATATACTCTAAACAGATAAAATAAGAGTGAACACCAGGAATATATATACATACATACATACATACATACATACATACATACATACATACATATATATTTCAGAGGTCCAGTGAGTATGGATATATTCAGACAAACATCATATACAAACATCAATAGTAGTTCTATAAATAGGCATCAAAATAGATTCACCTTAACTTTTAATTCACCATTTGGCTGAAGACAGAAATGAAACATACATACACACACACATACATACACACAGAGAGAAATAAATGCATATTTATATACAAACACACACACATACATACATACATACCCTCCTGTTCGGTTCTCGTCATCTCTTCTAGTTTCTTCTGTTTCAAAGTGTCCACCACATCGGCAAGACTTCCTTTGCGGCGTTCTGGAGTTCCAAAATTAACACTGGTCATTAGCTCATTGCGATCACGACCACTTTCTTCGGGCTTATGTGGTGAGGTAGAAGTATTTCGGAAGGAATATAAGGAACATAACTTATTATTTTCTGACTCCTGTAAAGAAACAAGACAATAATATAATATTTAATACATTATAACAGGGTGTCTGTTATAACTCAAAAGCAACTGAATAATTTGAAATATTCTACTGAACTAAACCAATTTTTAGTTACAGTTTTATTTTGGCTGTTGATAAAAAGAACTTTAATTCTGCAGTATGCATTTGACTAGCCCCTGAAGAAGAAGAAATCATCTATTTTTTATCTGAGTCTTGGCCCATAAAAGGAAGAGTCCAAAGGCTCCAAAAGCTATTTATTAAGATTCAAGGGAACTAGGAAATCCTTGAACTAGAGAAACTTTTTGGCTCAGAATAAAGTTGTTATGTCTCTTGAAATGATGAGCTAATTACCTGAGCTTAAAACTTAGGTAGAATTCCAACATATTCTCTCTATCAACTCTTCCACAGCTTGATTAATTGGAGAAACATCACCTCCCCCCAAATATACAGACTCCATTTTCAATATAATTTATAGACATATGATCTGAGGTATGGGATGAAGAAAACATTAGTAATAATTCTACTTAATCCTTATCTCAGTCAGAAACTCAAAATCTTCAAAATTTCTCAAGCTAGCTCAGCTATGGTTTTCTTTTCTAGAGCCTTAAAAAATCAGTATTTGGAAGCTGTTGTATAATTCCACAGGTAAATACGTGAATTGCTACTAATAAAAATTCAGGTCTGTGACATATTTCAGTAAGTTCATTCCAGCAGCATATTAAATCATATGTTCTAGAACTCAAAGAATTAGATGTTATGTTATGTTATGTTATGCTAATTTTTATTCTATTTCAAAGAATAATTTGGGGATAAATTAGGGGGGAAAATTGGACAGAATTTGAAACCTAAGTTTTTTCTGAAACTTGACTATCCAAATAGGACTTCAACCACTGTGACCGACACTATTAAATGAAATAATGGCAAACAGATTGTAAAAGTAAGATTATTCCTGTTTCATTTTTATCTTTCAGTAGAGATTCATCAAGGCTGGTGGTAGGAAGCACTTCCTTTAAAGTCTGAGTTGGATAGGCACCATTTTTCTTATATACTTAAGACACTGTGGTGAAAACTCTGACAATAAATTTCATAAACCTAAAAATAATGTTTATTTTTCAAAACATGTCACAGTTTCTTAGACATTAAAAAAATAAAGAATTAATAGAGAATATAAGTACTCAGGACTCGATTTTTCATAAAACTTATAAGGACCTTGAAAGATAAATATGCACCTGAAATTGGAATTAGTTATTTCTACTTCAGCGTAGCTAATCACAGTACTCCCCAGCTCTCAAAATATTTAAAATTTAAATCTGTTTCAGTGTTATCCCGATGGTATCTCCCAGCTAAAATGATAAATGAATTTGTGCAGCTACTAGTTTCATTGCATAATGGCTGTGCAAGAAATAATTACACCACTTAGGTTTAAGGATTTCATTTTAATCTATATGTCACAGGGATTTTCAAACTTTACAGCACAAGAACTGCCCACTGACGGATTGCACAGGTAAAAAGAGAAACAAAGCTTGGAGATAGTTTTGATGTTGCATATCTTGCCCAGACAAAGCAAAATATCTGTCAAAACTGACCCCCACTTTTTTTTGTAAAAGACAAAGACCCTCTTTAACAGCACTCACCCTTTGTCTAGACTAGGGGTCTTCAAACTTGGCCCTTTTATGACTTGTGGACTTCAACTCCCAGAATTCTTCAGCCAGGCATGCTGTTCACAAGTCATAAAAGGGCCAAGTTTGAAGACCTCTGGTCTAGAAGACAGATCAGGTTTAAAACAAATGTTGTAACTCTCCCTTAACTGCTGGTGGCACTCCCTTGATTTTTGACCCACAGTCTGAGAACATCTACAGCAAATCTGCTTTCCCCCACCCCCACTGATTTTGCTTGTCAGAAGCCAGCCGGGAAGGCTACATATGGTGAACACTGAATCCAGAGGACAGTGCGACTGTCATAAATATATGCCAGTTGCCAAGCTCCCAAATTTTGTTCATGTGACCTTGGGGGTGTTGCAACAATCATAAGTGTGAAAAATGGTCACAAGTCACTTTTTTCAGAGCCATTGTAACTTCGAGCAGTCACTAAACAAATGGTTGTAAGTCAAAGACTGGTTACATGTATGATGTGACTACAGTCTCTTATTCATACTGGTAATTTCACAGGATCAAAATAGTCCTTGGCTTTTGTTTACTACTATTTTTAAATGATGTTAACAGAATTAAAGCATCAAAATGCACACAGAAGGACGAGATTTAAAATAAAGTATCTTTTTTTCCCTAATCTCTACTGCAGGTATTCCTATAATAGTAGATTCCAATCATCACATTTCCCTCACAAGGCAAGGGTTACCAGTTCAAAACCAAGTAGAAACAACCTTTTTTAATTCTTATTTTTCTTCTCCATTGAGCGTTTCCACAAATCTAAAAAAAATAAATAAATACTTGTCCACCAGTGGACCATTGAAATGCTGGCCCTTATTTATTTACTTACTTACTTAGTTGTCCAGCCCTAGGTAAATCCATTTGGTTCAGGAGCTGGGGTGAAACCCTCCTACCTCAAGTGACAGCAAGAATGGTGAAACGGTCCACTGGCAAACTGGTTAAAAAAAAAGCAGTAAAGTGGGTAGCTCAGTGAAAGAAAAAGGGTGACTTAAAAAATTGTTTCTTCCTTGTTTCAAACTCTACAAACATGATAAGCTGCAGTGGAAATTGAGGATTCAACCTAAGAAAGTAACTTGATTAAAAATAAATGTGCCTAAATGATAACATGTGCCCATCCTGTGGACCACTGTTTCTCAACCTCGCCAACTTTAAGATTTGTAGACTTAAAACCTCAGAATTCCCCAGCCATCATGCTGGCTGGGAAATTCTTGAAGTCCACACATTTTAAAGTTGTCAAGATTGAGAAATATCAGTTAAGACCATTTGATATGAGCATGTTCTGTGTTCGACGTAGAACTTTACAGTGCTAAATATCTTAAAATATCCTTCCAAATATAATATTGACTGAAGTGTGCATTTTGCAAATGTTAAGATTCTAGTGTGGTTTGCTATTTTTATTTAGTAACTTTTTTTCTTAATTTTTAACATTTTCTTAATTTTAATTTTCTTAATTTTGCAGTGATGTTTGTCTATAAACAAATCAACTGAATAATTCTCCAAATTGGCCTGGACTCTAGCCCAATATACTCAATCTTCAACCATCCTAGACATGGAATATTCTTTATGTGTGTACAGCAGATAAATTGATGCTACATTTATTTCATTTCATATACATATGCTGTGGTAAGAAATTATGTGTGACTATAGATTTCCCTCATACATTCATTACTGGGTTTTCCTGCATATGTCCTTAACTATACAGCATGAGTATATTACAGCAGACTATTGTATTTTATAATAACATGGCCTTCAAGTGGGAGGCAGCTTGAAAGAATGAATTCTTTCTTTTGTAGGGCATGAGAAATGAATAGAAAGAGAAGCATTTATAATATAGAGGTTAGAAAGGCTTTTTAAAAAATGTTGATAGTATCTTTTAAGAAAAATTAATTGAATTGAAATTCATTGGTCATCAATTGTTCTGAGAAAGAGGGAAGTGATTCCCTTCCCCCAATCACAAGTATAAACAATTTTAGTAACATCACCTTCTCTCAAAGTACAACAAACGTTCTCTTCTTCCCATCTCCCATCTCTCATCTACAAACAAACATTTAAAGTCTTCTTGTTTAGTCCTGATCAGCCAAAGTCAATTTAGGGTTACCATAGTTCACAACATATATATTTTAACCTTGATCAAATAAACCAATCTTATGTTCCTTCCCTTTACTCTTAACAATCTTGATCGTTAGTCCCTTCGAGAAATATCCTAGAACTGGATTTGTTTTCCTCTTTTCTTTATCCCTTCTCACAAAATTCTTCAAAGCTTTAAGAAATTGCTTTTGTAAATCCAATATATAATAGTTATCCAGACATTCTTTTGGTTGTCATTTTAACTATTGAAACAACCGTGTCAGGTGCGAAAGATCAGGTCTACGCATGAATGTCCAATTAAATTGATTTATTGCTACTTATGCCTATGCACAGGAATCTTCTCAATTAACAGCATCTGCCTGGAGTTGGATAAAGGTCGACATTCAGGGGGGGGGTTGGACTTAGACTACACGTGGCAATGTAGGATGATCCCTCTTTTAACTCCACCCCAGGTTCTGCCATCCCTCCTACAATCCAGTTTCATACAATCCAGTTGTATGTTCAGTGTAGGATCTTTTTCCATATTATTTGCATAGGATAATGATGACTGGAGATTCGAGCCTTGTCAGGAGACCAAAAATCTTACATGGAAGAACTAAAAAAAATGGGCTATTTTTAACCTTGATGACTGAGAGAGGCTAACGACACTTTTCAAATATCTGAAGAGAAGGTACTTGCAAAGGCCAAGTCCTATTCTATCATTATCCAGAACATAGCACACCTAACAACAAGAAGAGGAAAACAACAACAATAGATTCTGGATAACTGAAGTGAAGTTATCCAGGCACTTTACAATGCCTTGGTAAGGCCACACTTGGAATATTGCATCCAGTTTTGGTCACCATGATGTAAAAAAGATGTTGAGACTCTAGAAACAGTACAGAGAAAAGCAACAAAGATGATTAGGGGACTGGAGGCCAAAACATATAAGGAACAGTTGCTGGAATTGGGTATGTCTAGTTTAATGAAGAGAAGGACGAGGGGGGACATGATAGCAGTGTTCCAATATCTCAGGGGCTGCCACAAAGAAGAGGGAGTCCAGCTATTCTCCAAAGCATCTGAAGGCAGGACAAGAAGCAACAGGTGGAAACTAATCAAAGAGAGAAGCAACCTAGAACTAAGGAGAAACTTCCTGACAGTTAGAACAATTAACCAGTGGAACAACCTGCCTCCAGATGCGGTGAATGCTCCAACACTGGAAGTTTTTAAGAAGAGACTGGACAGCCATTTGTCTGAAATGG